TAATGAAACGGGAAATTTTCCAACTTCACTATATCGTATGATTTACTATATAGTAGGTTCACTATATCGAGCGCCGACTGTATACTATAGAAGGTTGTGGATTAATTAATTAAATATTAGTTTTATAAAAATACCGTGTGGTCACACAAAACGTTACACCATAAATAGTAACAATTGATGTAAAAAAAAGTGCGTTTCTATCACGCGTCTGTTTATATTGAAATAATAATTAAAATGTCGAATAAGGAAATTGTTGAGAAAACAAAAAATACTACTTCGAACAGAAACCAAGGAAATTCCAATATTTTTTCTATTAAGAGCAATTCAACTACTGATAATCAAAAAAACAATACACAGCAACAAGCAAAACAGCCAACAAACGCTTCTATTTTTTTTAAAAGTGTTCGTATTGGTTATAATTATAATAATAGTAATAATAATGTCTCAAAAAACAAGAAAATTAGAACAAAGGATTTTTATGATCTCAACGATGTTAGCACAAAACGCAATAAATGTAAAAGCCCCGAAACAAAATTGGACTTGTGGATTAAAAGACCCCCCAAAACAGCAGATAATGATAATCAATGCGCTACTGAACAGAAACAGAAACATGGTATGAAAGTAGATGATAATAAATGTGTAAAACACGATGACGATCTAATAATAGACGATGACGAAATTATTGATTCGTTATCAAGTTTTTCTGCTTCCAAAAAAATTATTTCCAACAAAAATACTTTAGAATTTAATGTAGAAAAAATGGATATTGAAGAAAATTTATATTCTATGCCTTCTGATAAAGCGAGTCTTTTCTTTTCCTTTTATGAGAGATCCAAGAATTTATTAAAAATCATTTTTTATAATGTTTATTTTAAAAAAAAAATCACATTCTAATGAAAATTTTTATCTTTTCCCACTATAATTATTACAATAGCAGTCAAAATTAAATCAATCTATATATTTTAATAAACAACCGCTTGAATCTAATTTATTTATGAATGAATACAAATTTGTTGATGAAAAGAACATTGAAAAACCTTCAGCCTTTGCTCGAAATGATACTAAACCAGAAAATACATCATCTCTAGAAAGTGTCCCAAAACAAAAGAAAGTAATTCAAAATTGGAGATCTCTGTATGCGTTAAAGGAAGATGATTGTGATTCAGTGGAAAATGAAAAATCAATTCAAACAACAAGAAATTTGCCCATAAAAAATAATTGGTCTGTTTCAAACAAACAAAGTTCAAATAAATCAATATCAAAAAAGTCATGCCCCTTCTATAAAAGTTTGCCAGGTAAATAAATATTGCGTTATTTAGGTTCTCATTCTCAAAGATAGGTAAATTTCGATTGACTAAATCAACATATAATGTTAATTTTAGGTACAGGTGTAACAGTCGATGCCTTTAGCTATGGAAAAATACAAGGGTGTAATTTTTATTTTCTCAGGTAACGATAATTTTTCCGTTTTTACAGATAAATTACGCTTTTTTTCAAAATATGTATTTATATTGCCTACAGTCATTTTCATTCAGATCATTATTGTGGATTAGGTTCTTCATGGAAACATGGACCAATCTATTGTTCTTCTGTAACTGGTAATCTAGTAATTCAAAAACTTAAAGTAGATCCAAAATATGTTCATAAATTACCAATGAATGAAAAAATTCAAATAGAAGATTGTATCGACCTATCAGTAACATTGGTTGATGCAAATCAGTAAGAATAATAATTATATATTTTTTTTTAGAAAAATATTTGAATAACAGTAATAAAATCTTTACCAATTATCAGTTGTCCTGGATCGGTGTTATTTTTATTTGAATTTTATGATCCTCAGAGTGGTCAAACTAAACGATATCTACATACTGGAGATTTTCGTGCATGTCCACGACAAGTTCTTCATAATGAGATCTTGCAATCCTCAAAGCTTGAAATAGATGCATTATACCTCGACACAACATACTTGAGTCCACAATATTGTTTTCCAGCTCAAGAACAGGTTGTAGATGCAGTAATAAAGTTGATCGGAAAAACCATTAAAAATGGTGGATTATTACAATTCAAACGTGAATCATTTAAAAAGTCTAAAGCAAATAAACAAAATGAAGGTTCTACTAAGCCGCAATTGGTATTAGATAGATGGTTTAAAACTGCTACGTCGAATAGTTCAAACGAGAAAATTTCTTTTCAAAATAAATCTGTTGAAACTCAAATGAATCATAATAATAGCATAAATAATATTGATTCAATGGCTACTACACCAGCAATCGATGAAAATACTGAAGTTGATGGATATTCAGAAATTTATAACTTTGATGAAAGTTTAAGTTTGCAAGGCAGTAAAATTTTAATAGTGGTGGGCACATATTTGATTGGCAAAGAAAAGATCTTTTATGGTATGTTTATGATAATAATCTTATTGTTATCTATTGTGCATTATCTGTTTATCATACGTGATCTATTTGATATTTAATCATGGTATCTATAAATCAAATTTATTGTTTATAGGAGTTGCAAAAGCTTTTAAATCAAAGATTTATGTAACCGAGGAAAAAAGACGTTTAATTTCATGTCAAGAAAACCCAAGTTTAGAAGAGCTATTGACAAATGATCCTCTTGAAGCTTCTATTCATGTAGCGTCTCTCACATCACTCAAATATGAAGTAATTAAAATTATTGTTGTATATATATTTAGAGGTGTTTAATATATGTTAGCCGATGTGATTGATTGTAGTTTTTTTTTTAAATTTAGAATTTAATTTCATACTTGGAAACGTTCCATCCGAAATACCAACATGTGATGGCATTTCGACCAACAGGTTGGGCATATAGACCATCTGAAAGGCAAACATTTTCAGCAAATTCGACCTTTCAAGATATTTTAAGTAATCAACCTTTTTACAACATTGATTCCATCAGGCCAACATATTCTTCATTAAAATGCCAAATATTTAGTGTGCCTTATTCTGAACATTCAAGTTTTCGTGAACTTGCAGCATTTATAATGTCGTTGAATGTGAAAAATGTTATACCTACAGTAAATGTTGGGTATGAATTTTGATACATATTTTAATTTCTTTGATAACAACAACAATAATAAATGTCGAACAATTTATTTTTATTTTTTAGATCTAAACAAAGTAATGAAATGGAGCAATGGATAAATAAATGGCAAGAAGAAAAGAAATGTAAACAATTCGATATTGTACCATATAAGGTTCTTGATCATTGGTAAAAAATAAATAATACGAAATAAATAAATAAAATAAAAATAAAAATTTAAATAGATCAATTTTCAGAAAAATAAATGAAAATATAATTGATGCCTTCTGCCAGAATCGAACTGGCGACCTTCTGCTTACTAGGCAGACGCTCTGCCAACTGAGCCAAGAAGGCAAACCTGATGTCAGGAGATCGTAAATGATTTCCTTGTCATACTCTTTATTTTTTATCAATCAATTTTTGGTGAAATTATCAATTTTTTTATTTTAAAAATTATTTATTTAAATAATTAATTTCAATTTCAATCATCAATTTTTTCTTGAACTTTATTTTTCTTTTTTGAGAAATCTAATTCTTCCCAATCCCAAAGTATAACTCTCATACCAATACTAGGAGAACAATTACCCATAGCCATCTTTTAACAACATCTTTATTTGCATCTTTTATTCCTGACAATCTTTTATGGGTTTTACATTCAAAGTTTTCTTGAGATTTTTTATGGATAAAAGAGCCATAAGTACAGTCCAACAAGTTGTTTGAGTGGGTAGATAGACAGGACCTGAGCATGGGATTTTTAATGCATGAGCTGCATGTCTTGCAAAATTTATAAAAAATCCATTGACCCACTATATATGAATGTAAGTGCAATTGACAAACAGCTATATTGTCTGTAGGTGGAATTTTTCCAGGTTTTAATATTGATTTTTTTTTTTTTTTGAGAAAGTGTAAGAGAAAAAATCCAATAATAATAATCTATTATCCATTAACATATTTACCATAAAGCAATGGATCTGGTTGATTTTCATTATTTTCATTGTTATTATTATTTTCACTATGATTATTTTGCAAATTTATTGATGTTGTCCAAAAATTATTTCTAATGAATTGTAAATTGATATATTATATATATATATATAAATGAATGAATGAATGAAGATATGTAAAACAATAAATATACATTTCTATATGGAAATGACAATTTAATAATTATCATTATTGGAAGTATTTGATATTTCAATAGATTTGTCATTTCCTATCTTTTATTTTTATGATAAAATCTTTTTTGATCTACAAATAATTTTTTTAAACCCATTTGTTGAATATCAAACATACATTGGAAGAAGAGCAAATGAGTAAGTATTGTCAGACGAGGGAAATTTAAAAATAATGGTAGTTGCAATCATTGTTGTCCTTCTGGTTAAATAAATATAACAAAAAATGTCCAATACTTTAAAATCTTAAAATCTTTTAGAAAGTAATTTTTCATAAATCTACCACTCCAGTTCATCATAAAAGTGTAGTGGTGACACAGTGATGGTAGTGATATTGAAAGAATAACAACAGTAGAATGACTCTATATGAAGAATATTAATATAGTAATAATAATGCTAGAATCAACAACACAGCTGTTTTTTAAAGTGGAAGGATGATGATTTTATTTTTAATTTATATTTATATATATAGTAGTTTCTAAGGCAAATCTGCACCTTACATTAAGACATACTGGTTTAATTAAACAAATAGACCAGCACAAACTTTGCCTATTACACAAAGTCATCATGTGGAAAAAATGTCTTCAGTTTGGCCAAAACAAATAAATCAGAATGGATGAAACAAAATTAGTGTATATCTCACTAAAACTAGAGAAACTAGAGAACAGCTTCTCAACTCAAATGAATACTGATTTTATCATCTTGAAATAATTATAGTGTCAATGTAGGGGATCTATGTTATCTCTATCAAGTGATGAAATATGACCATCAACTAAATTACTCTATTCATTACAATGTTAAGAATGAATGTATGGTGCGACTAAACATATGTTCCATATTAAATTTTCGAAAAATGCCTGATAAACTTGGAGAAAAGAGAAGCCAAACACAAGTGCTGTTGGAGCAATGTTTCAACCAATTAATTCAAGCCCTAGTCAGAAAAGTAAAACAGGAAAATTAGAATTGAAAGACAAATCAGAGAGGGCTTGAAGCAATTTTATCTAATACTAATATCATTGCTTTTAATGTATTGGCAAGATAGGCAATGTTTCATGTGAGGTAATTTTGATATTAAACACTTTTTTTATATGTAATAAATCAGATAAACATTCAAAAATACAATTTTTCATATATCTGAGATCTATGATCAAAGGAATGAATAATTAATTTTGAATCTGAAAGAATATATTTCATACATAGTCATAGCTACTTCTACTACTTCACCTACTATCAACATGTCTGCCAACACAAGTGAAATTGTAAACCCAATACATAATTTCGATCTTACGTCGATCTTAAACATAAAAAATAAAAATGACGTTTTGAACTTTTTATATATAAATTTTCGCATTCATTCATATTTTTTTAAAAAATTTATTTATTATATATTTTAAATGTTTTGCACATTCATCAAATTTCTGAAAATACTATAGAATCATTTGAAGATATAACTACTTGTCTGAAAATTTAATTCAATAAGTTGGATCAAGTAATTTTATTCAGAATATAATTTAGTTGAACTAGGATTAGAAGATGAATTAGTTCTTAATAGAATTCATGATTTAAAATCTTTTTTTAATAATAAAAGTAATTGTTCCTGTCGTAGTAAAAAAATTTGCTTGGAAGAGATTGGATTTAAGAAATTTTAGAAATGATAGGATTGAAGATGAAAAAAAGATCTTTATATTAAAGCTCAATTAATGGTTTTTGAATTTAAGAAAGATAAAAAACAAATCAATGACAAATATAAGCATCAATATAATTCACCTATATATATATTTGTCAAAAGATATTTTTAAAAATTTGTAATATTGGTAAAAATATATTATCAGATTTACAAACACATTGCAAAATAATGGTCTATGTGATTGTCTTCATGGTAATTTAAAAAATGACCCTAGACTTAATTCTCATGCAATAGTTACTTTGGATACAGCAATTTTTGTAGAACAATTTAAAGCTCAATATGCAAACATTCATGGTTTGCTATCTCCAATGAGGATTCAAGATAGTTCTGGTCCATTTATATATCTCCCAACTGATAAAAATATTTTTTTGATTTATAAGGATTTCAAATATTTGAACTCATTAAACTTGGAAAATGAACAATCTCAACGCATATAATAATTACATATATAGTAATAGAAGTAATATTTATTATTTAAGAAAAAAATTTTTTTTGACAACAATAAAGAATTATTATATCTTATATGTATAAAAGCAAATAAGGTGTGGTACTAATTTGTTTGATCTTTATAATTCTTTTTTATAATCATCTACATTCTTTGTAATTTGATCTTTTGTATCAAAAATCTTCTGGCTAACTTGGTCTTTTGTATCAATAATTTTTTCACCAACTTTATCTTTTGTATCGCCGATTTTTTCACCAAGTGTCTTAAATCTATCCCTTAATAATGTGATGTATGCATTGATTTTATCTTGGGTAACATCTTTGACACTTTTGGTATTTTTGAATGGTCCTTGTTTATCTTTTAATGTTTCAAATAAAATCTCAAGTTGTTCATTTGTCAATTTTTGTGTGGAAGAAACTTGATTAATCATAACCTCCAATAATTGATCAATTTTTTGATTTCTATAATTTTTTTGGTTTTTAATCAAATCTTCAAAATAATTTTTAATATAATTAACCGATCGTTCAGTATTATAATCTACTGTCTCTACTGTTTCTCGTCCTTTTCCCCTAATTTTATTTGTAACAGAACTGAAAAAGCTGAGTAAACCATTAAAATATTTACTGAATATATTTTTAATGTGCCTATATTGTTCTAATGTCAAGCTTTTACCATCGTAATATTTTTGATTAATATTATCTAATGCATTTTGTATTTTTTCTTGTGTTAGCAATTTGTAACCACCTATTGTTTTAGTCAACTCATGTCCAATATGACTTAGGGTACTAATAAATGATTTTTTATAATCCCCATAAGAGGGCAATGTCGATTTAACTGCTGATGTCAATTTTTCGGAGAGTTCCTCAAGATTTTCTTGTACCAAGACATTACGATTAACCAATTCTTCTTGAATTCCATGTATTACAAGTGTAAGTTGTGGCAGAACTCTGGCTTTTGCGATATTGTTGGTGGATTGATTAAATTCACTTTTAAACCATTCGATTGTATCATTACTAATGCTTTTATAATTATGAATATCCTGTTGAATGCGATTTGATGATTTTTGAATTAATACGTCTCTCCTTGCTTTAGCTAAATTATATGATTGTTCGATTTCATTTAATGCGTTGGTTAGGTTTTTGTTTACATTTGTTTTAGTTGATTTTAATTGTGAATTGATTTCGTCAAATATTGGGGACAATTGATCTTCGGACAATCCAGTCAAACGTCGTAAATTTTCAATTTTATCAGCAATTTTTTGAGAATATTCACTAAGCTCATCTTCCGTCAACTCTTTAGTATAATTTAAACCTATTATTACATAAGATAAATATAAGACTGTGCACGAAAAACGTGAGCAAAAAAACCAATTAATCATTACTCACTTTCGCCAATATAAGTGATAAAACTGCTAACATGAGATCTAATAGCCTCGGCGTTGGATTGAGTTATCGGTTCGTTATTATTATAGGATGAATTAAAGTTAGATTTTACCAATTCAATTAAATCGTGTTTTTCAGGAATTCCTTTATATGTTATTTCATGTTCGGCAAGCCATTCTTTAAGTTGGTTTGCATGCCAAGTTGTAGGATCATTCGAATCTAATTTGTTTGTTTTTATTAGTTAATATTTGATATAAATTGAAATAAATATTTATATATTTACCGTATGATTTATCTATTGCAATGATAGAAAAAGCAAAAAAAATTAAAACGAAAATTATTAAAAGATTATTATTTTTGTAAATTTTATTCATCATCATTGATAGTTTTTTTTTTGTCGAAATTAATTGAGATAAACTTTTTAATAAAGAATTATATATCTTCCCGCATTTTCTAAGCTAAATAAAATATTATTAAATCATCATATATTACATCATCATTATCACAATACTAGAATTCGAATTTTTTTAGTAATAATAAAATTACATCATAATTTCATCATCGTTATAAAATGCGGTCGAATACCTTTATAGAGCATAGGGGGCTTTCTGTGATTGGCTGACGCATAATGAAATTGTTTGGATGATTATTACGCCGATCATTACTATTAATCAATTTTTTTAATGTTATCCGAACAGGACCCCGGAAACTACATAGATAGGTTACCCTAAAATTTTCAAAATTTACTAATGAGTTTACCCAATATTTTTTATATTAGATTTACCCAAGTTGGTAATAAC